AGCAGCTTTTGTCTTTTCCCTTAATTATTGTTAGTAGTACTATACCATGCTTTGCTAATAGTAGGGTATGAATTAACTATAAAGTAGCCAAAGTCGTACATACATACTCTTTCATAGCAGTGTGATCTTCAACATCTTCCAAAAGCCCTTTTTGTCTTATTTCAACAGCTGTTGAGGAAGCTGTGAGGCTCATTACTGGCGGAGCCCCAGAGCTCGCTGTGGAAGGCAATGGCCCGGTGGAAAGTAATGCAGTACTCACCAAGGCCGTCAAAAGGCCCAACGAGGATTCAGATGACGACGAGGAAAAGGGAGCTGTCGTCCCTCCTGTTCATGACATTTATAGAGCACGGCAGCAGAAGCGAATTCGGTGAAACGGGCTCAAAACCTGCCTCTAAAAGAAAACTTTTATCCAGGATTCCCTTTTTGCCTCCTACGTCATATGTTTAAGAGACAATGCTTTGTTACAAGGTTCTTGGACACAAAGTTGTATTGTCATTGGTGCCTCTATCATATGGTTCTTGAGAAAGAAAACCAACCAACCTGTGTGAATTTTACAATATGGAACTGAGAACAGTGCAAAATGGCAGAACCACATTTTGTTCCCTCTTCAAGGGTGTGTTGTATGTGCCACTTGAAGATTTTGTGAGTTTTCAATAGTTTTATTTTAAAACTGGATGGCTTATGATTGTAAAGCTTTTATCACATTTTTCTGAAAACAGTTGTTCTCAGTTTGCTTATGTAGAGTCCTGCCTTATTGTTTGTTTTATTTATGGCAGAATGTATGGAATCTGTTTTGTAGTTTAAAATTTTAAAACAATCCTTTAAAAAATAAAAGGATCTAAAAAAAAAATAAGTCTTGTCTCCTTCTGCTGCTTTCATTCAGAATTTGTTTAAAATAGCTACTTATGTTATTTAGCCAATACCATCAACATTACAAGGAAGGGTCATACGTTATTTACTGTGTGTATACTTAACTGCATGTCCTCCCTAATCTTTTTTGGTACTAACTAAAAACATGAGGGATCCATTTTTTTAATATGTATTTTTATTGATTTCAGAGAGCAAGGGAGAGAGAGACAGAAACATCAGTGATGAGAGAGAATCATTGGTCAGCTGCCTCCTGCATACCCCCGACTAGAGATCAAGCCCGGAACCTGGACATGTGCCCTTGACTGGAATTGAACAAGGGACCCTTCAGTCTGCAGGCCAATGCTCTAGCCACTGAGCCAAACCTGCTAGGGCCCTTAGTGATAAGAGATTCCAGGAAAAAAAATTGGCTCACTTACCTTCAAAGAGCAACAACAAAACAATTCAATGTGGATATTGTGCTTCTGAACTTTGCCTCCTTCACTCTTGGCTTTTGCCACTTGCGGAAGGAACTCCATCAGTGGAAGGAGGTGGGGGGGGGGGGTGGTCATGAGAGTCTGTGAGGCATTACAATTTCAAACAAACTTAACTTTGTCAATTTAGGAACTCATGAGGGAAAAATAATACTGTAAGAGCTAATTCTTACAAAAGAAGGCAAAAGAATTCTTGAGATTTAGGAAGACTAACTACAGGAAGTGTACTTGGGGGTAAAGCTCCTCTCCTTCACCCTTGGAGAGGGAGGGAGAAAAGCCCCAATACTCTGCGCTGAGGTAGGCAAAGGAGTGCTGCCCCTGGGTGCTCGGGCTTGGAGATACTATCATATAGCACAGCGGCCACAGAGCAACCTTAATCATAGGACCAATCCCAGAAGTGACCTCACTGCACACACTAGAAAAATTGAATTTTGATTTTTTAGTTCTACTTACTTAACTTTTATCACTTTCCAATAAAACTAGGGAAGATTTGTCCTTTAGTCTAAACTTTTAATAATATGACTTCTGGCCACAGAATACAGCATGCATCTCTGACTACAACAAAAAATACATAAACGTGTAGCATGTACTTGGAGAAATTGCATTCTTCCCAATATAATCAACCCTTCCCTCCTCTGAAGCCTGGTTTACGTCTACGGGGTCAATGTTCATCTGGCTGCTTCCAACTCTGTCCCTCCAGCCTACCCTTTTTTGCTTTGTTTCAAGGTATCTTTTAATTTCTTCCTTGACCTCATTGTTAATCCATTCATCGTTTAGTAACCTGTTATTTAGCCTCCATGTCTTTGTGTGTTTTTCAGGTTTTTTGTGTATGATTGATTTCTAGTTTCATACCACTATGGTCAGAGAAGATGGTTGATACGATTTTAATCGTCTTAATTTTATTGAGATGTTTTGTGTCCCAACATATGATCTATCCTAGGAAATGTTCCATATGCACTTGAATGTATATTCTGCTGCTTTGGAGTGAAATGCTCTAAAGATATCAATTAAATCCATCTGATCTAGTGTGTCATTTAAGGCTGCTGTTCTCTTATTGATTTTGATGTCAATGGGGGTGTTAAAACCCCCTACTATGACTGTATTACTGTCAATCCCTCCCTTTTGTCCATCAAGATGTGCTTTACATATTCAGGTGCTCCTATGTTGGGTGCATAAATGTTTACCAGGGTTACATGCTCTTGTTGGATTGCTCCTTTTTTTTTTTTTTTTCATTATGTAGTGAACTTTGTTTCTTACAGCCTTTGTTTTAATGTCTATTTTGTTAAAAATAAGTATGGCTGCCCCAGCTTTTTCTTTCATTTCCATTTGCATGAAATATAGTTTTCCATCCTTTACTTTTAGTCTCTGTGTCTCACGTTCCGAGGTGGGCCTCTTCTAGACATTGTATATATGGGCCTTGTTTTCTTACCCATTCAGCTACCTCATGTCTTTTGATTGAAGTATTTAAGCCATTTACATTTAAAGTAATTATTGATAGGTATGTATTTATTGTCACTTTATTTTTTAAACTATATTCCTCTTTCCTCTTCCTCTTCTTCTTCTTAAAGTAGGCCTTTTAAGATTTCTTGGATCTTTAAGAGGGTGCCTGTGGCCCTACCATGTAGCTCAGTTGGCGAGAGCATTGTCCTGATATGCCAATGTTGCAGGTTTACTTCTGGGTCAGCGAACATACAAGAAGCAACCAATGAATGCATAACTAAGTGGAACAACAAATTGATATTTCTCTCAAATCAGTACATAAAAATTAATTAAAAATAATTAAAAATACATAAGTTGGTGCTTGGTCTTCAGTGGATGTTCGTCTTTCCCTGGCAGGCACAAACCTCACTGCTTTTCACAGCCAGATGTTATATGAGTTCCTATTCCTGGCCTAGTGCTCTAGGCTTAGAACCCCCCACAGCTGAGATATACTTCTGGGACCTCAGCAGCTGTCCGCTGGAGTGGGGCCAATGCTTTCGGATCTCCGCCTTTCCTACTAGTTTCAAAGTGGCTTCTGTAAATCCTTGGTTATAAGACTTCTCCTCAGTTAGTCTTCAGTTGTTTATTCGGGATGATTGTTCTATGTTTCAGTTGTAATTCGTTTGGTCCTTGGAAGAGGTGACTGTAGCTTCCACCTACTCCACCACCACTTTGGATCTCTGTCCTCATTGCCTTTACTAAAGGCATTCCTTGCATTATTTCATCCCTTGCTGTTCTGACAGCTAGAGGCCACTCCAATAACTTCATGACTCTGCTAATACAATGTCTCTGTCTGAAATACACATGCACATTTTATATTTTTTAATAGAGCAGGTAGTCTATGAGACCAAAATTCCTCTTTCAGTTACAAGATATGTTGGGAATTCTGGTCACTGAAGTTCCTCAAAAAATAGTGCTCAACACCCAGGGATTTTTCTAAGACTTTCTTATCAAACAAGTAGTGAGTTCACACTATTTTATCTGAAATTCTAATCCAATCAATACAACAGTTAATTGTATGACAGTGAATTTTTCAGTGAAAACTCCAGACATTTATCTCTTTTTATATTACTATATTTTAAATATATATAATTTCCTCCTTAACTCTCCAAAGTTTAAGAGTCAAAGAACTTCCTCTCTGTAGATCCCACAAATCATGTAACTGCTATCATCCAGGCTCAGGAATAATCTATAATAATAAAAGGGTAATATGCTAATTAGACCAGACAGCTGGACATCCAGACGAAGCCAGGGCTGCGAGGGCTGAGCCCCTTGCACGATTTTCATGCATCGGGCCTCTAGTTTTGTATAAAAGAGTAAGGTCTTTAAAATCAATTAACTCTCCTCTAGAACAAATGGGTTCTGGGGCTCTGGCTGAAACAGGCAAGGGAAAGGCAATAAATAGGGTCAGTGTCAGGGTGGGGGGTGGAGGTGAACAGTAAGACTACAGCCCTTTTATTTTTATTTTTTAATGTATTCTTATTGATTTCAGAGAGAAGAGGGAGAGAGAGATAGAAACATCAATGATGAGAATCATTGACTGGCTGCCTCCTGCACACATGCCCCACACTGGGGATCAAGCCCGCAACCTGGGCATGTGCCCCAACCAGGAATCGAACCATGATCTCCTGGTTCATAGGTCGATGCTCAACCACTGAACCACACCGGCTGGGCTATCTATGGCCTTTTAACACAAAATACCTGGAGGGAGAAGGGGTTTGAGGCTGTGCCAGAGGGGCAAAAGTCTAGACAAGGTCATGGCTTATGCTCTTTCATTCTTGGATGTCTGAAAGAAAAATTACCCGGTAACAGAAGAGAAGTCCCAGCTTTCTGGGAGAGACAGCTACAGTCTTGAGAGAGTGGGGGTGGAGACACATGGCAGTCAACCATTCCGAAGTTGAGTGCTTCCTGTGAAACTCAACAAACGCTTTCTTGATTTATAAACTTGCACTTATACATACAAACCCTCAAAATAGAATTCAGTGCATTTTTCAACAAGTCTTTTCAATAGTGATACACAATAAATATATTCTTCCTTTTGGAATCAATGCTATTAAATAGAAATGTACTAAAGAGCCATTTTCCAAAGCAACATTAGAGTTGAGAACAGGCAATCTGAGCGGAGTAGATAATATTGCTGCTATTGGGAGCATACGTGTTAGGATCTAACAAGGATCTTACTGAGGACTGCATCATAGTAGGGACTGAAGACCATCTTGTTATAGTTGACCAGACGAACAAATTTAATAGCAACTTCCTCCAGCTCTTTGTGGACTGGACCCAATCCCCCAGGTATTGTGGGCAATGCCTTCTCGTGGCCTGAGGCAAGGTAGGTTTCTAAGAAGGTCAGGATTCGGGAATCTGTGATAGAAAAGAATGCAATTAGTTGTTTCTTGTACAGGGTGACTTTATAAACATGATTATGCTTCCATTTTTAACTTAAACATCACCTTTTTAGGAAAGTTTTTCCTGACCACCTCCCAGATCAGGTACCCAGAGCACCTTGCACTTCTGAATAGTCATCACATTTGCACTGTTTCCTCTCCCTCTAGATGGTTAGTTTTATGAAGGCAGGACTCATGCTTATTGTGTTCTCTCCCCAGCATCCAGCACAGTCCCTGGCATGAAACCTGGCCCCTATAAAAGCTCAAAATACTTTGGAAAGCAAGAACAAATGTATGGATAAATGCTGGGAAACCAGAGCATTAACAGGTTCTGCTCTCAGAGGAGCAAGTCATACTGCGACCAACATGAGCCATTGTTGAAGATCACATAAAAGAAGTGGGATGAAAAATAAAGCAGGAATCACAAGTTCAAAAGCAGAAAGAAGATTCCCGCACTGATGGCTTGTGATCTGTCTTTTCCCACTAAGTCCATATGAAAGAAGCATGAACTTCCTTCTTCAATGCCTACCATGGGAGGCCATGGAGTTGGTGGCATTTGTGAAGTTGTCCTACTCTGAGGAATAATTTAGGTTGATGCTTTTTTAGCCCATTCCCTTCTGCAATGCTTCTGCACTTTCCTGTGTGTCCTCATTAGCCAAAAAATTGTGAGTACAAGCCATGTTTCTTACAGATTTTATTACAAAAGCAATAGGAACATTTATATTGAATGGGCTTTTCCACACTACTTGCCCACACCCTGCCCTGGGGAACCCTCTCAGGAATAAATGACTTACACCCTTCAGAACCCAAAAACGCAGAGAAACTGCTAACTGATCACCAAAGTTAGTTTGGTTTTCTAAGGTTCCCAGAGCTGGAAGCCTCACCCAGAAGTGGAGATCCTTGTGTCATTCCTTTGTGAGGGCAGGTTTCTATCTCCATGTCTATAACTGGCTGTTACTAAACAACCAGGATGGCAGGACAAGGACAGCTCTATTTACAGGCACCTTCCTGCTTCTCAATAATATTAATCTTGATGGTCAGAGGGCACGGCAATATCTTCAGAGGCTGCTCCGGAGTGATGCACAGGTGAAATTGTGACCATTGCAGGACTGGGACAAAATATTTTTTTCAAAACCACTGATCCACGTACCTCTTTTTTCATAAATATGAAAAAAGTAAAAAAATATTCTTTTACTAAGAATAAAAAAAAAATCATAGTATTAGAAGCAGACCCACCACTGGTCCACCCTTCTATCCAACCTGATATCTAATAACCATGAATCATTCAGCTTTTGCTGGAGCAGGATTTTTTTAAAAAAATATATGTTTTTATTGATTTCAGAGAGGAAGGGAGAGAGAAAGATGAATGATGAGAGAGAATCACGCTCCACAACCCGGGCATGTGCCCTGACCGGGAATCGAACCGCAATCTCCTGGTTCAAAGGGCCACGCTCAACCACTGAGCCATGCTGGCAGGGCTGGAGCAGGCTTTTGGACCAAGGGCTGTAATTTCAAACTCAAAGCCTTCAAAACAATGATGGCTGTCTGGTCATTTGCCCAAACCTTTGGGTCACCCTAATGGCAAGTGGTGATCCCTGCTTCCTGCCTTCCCCCCAAACGTACCCATGATCCTGCGGACGGGGTTGTCAGGACTGGCCACCGCCTGGATCTGGCCCTTGAGCACGATCTCCTTGTCCGTGGTAAAGGGGGTGAACCCACACAGGGAAAGGCAGCTGCTCACCTCCAAGCAGACTTTCTCACCAATGGTCGTCAGGGCATCCTTCAGATGGAAGGAGCTTGAGTAGAAAAGGAAAAGGAGAAGCCAGGGAAGAAAGAACCTATCAACAAGGTGCACCTCTGCCCATGCCCTGATAAAAATCATACAACCAAGTTGTGGACTGATGTGTCCAAAGGAAACATCTGTGACTCTCTTCGCTGCCCATAACCTCTCCCCTCTGCACTCTCTTCCTTCCTCTCTCTTTCCTCCCAACCCCAGAAAGGACAGTGGGAAGGGGAGAACTCGGATAACGTCAGGACCAACAACTCAAAACCAGACTTCTTGCTAGCATGTGTGTAAAACAAGCCTGGAACTGACTTAGGAATATCTTGAATAACTGGAACAATACACAAGACACCAGAAATTCGGTAGCAATGGGACAGAAGTGGGAGAGAAACTTTTCATTCAATACACCTTTTCCCTTTTAATTTTCAAAAGACGTGAGTATAACTACTTTAAAAGAATGAGTAAAACTGAAATCTAAAGGTTAAGAAAATTAATATATGGATTTCTTGGGGCCCAGGTCTGCTGGGAACCCTCCCAGCAGCTGGGTATTCTGGGAGGTATTCTGCTGGTCTGCTGGCAGGTATTCTGTGAGAAGGCAATTAATTGCCTTTGTTCTGGGTCTAGATTCTTTAAACGGCAGAATTAGTGGGAGCAAATGTGCAAGCCCTGCACTCACTGCTGGCACCAGCTCTGACCGCCAGGGTGAATATGGCCATGCAGGGCTGGACTCCTAAGGACTCGCTGAACAGGGCCCCTCTCATCAGTAACTGACAGAGCAGTGTTACTGGAGGGGAACCTTGGTGACAGCTCAGGGTTACACCTGCACAAGAGCCCCAGGCTAGGCCTCAGCTCAGCAAACACCCTCATGCCCTACTTAACCCCTAGTCACAACATGTGGACGTGCCCCTCACTGCACCAAACACATGCATGCTTTATGCAAACTCAGCAGTAAAAGTCCTCCTTTTGTAAAGATGAAAATGTTTTGGGGACATTCCCCTTGAGGAATCTTCTCAATTAGACCTTGTCAGACCTTGCTTACTTAGAACCATTCTAAATTTTCCATATGCTATAAACCACATAAATGGCCTAATCTGACTTCACTGTAAGAGCAGTTACAGCAGCTGCCCTTAAAAGTTGGATTAGCCCTGGCTGGTTTGGCTCAGTGGATAGAGTGTTGGCATGCAGACTGAAGGGCCTGGGTTTGATTCTAGTCAAGGGCACATGCCCAGGTTGCAGGCTCAATCCAGAGTAGGGGTGTGCAGGAGGCAGCCAATCAATGATTCTCTCGCATCATTGATATTTCTCTATCTATCTATTATCTATCTATCTATCTATCTATCTATCTATCTATCTCCCTCTCTCTCTCCCTCTCTGAAATCAATAAAAATATTTAAGAAAAAAAAAGTGTGCATTAGTGCTGGTTGATAAAATAATCCAATATACCCAGCACAAAATGTCTATGAGAAATGTGCAAAGGGCAGAAAACTTTAAAAATATATTTTTATTGATTTTGAGAGAGATAGAAAGGGAGAGGGATAGATAGAAATGTAGATGAGAAACATTAATCAGCTGCCTCCTGTATGCCCTGTACTAACCCAGGCATGTACCCTGACCGGGAATCAAACTGGTGACCTCTTCATTCATGAGTCGATGCTCAACCACTGAGCCACACCAGCCAGGCAGCAAACAGTGTTTTTATTGATTTCAGAGAGGAAAGGATAGGGAGAGAGAGATAGAAACATCAATGATGAGAGAGAATCATGGATCAGCTGCCTTCTGCATGACCCCTACTGGGGATCGAGCCTGCAACCCAGGCATGAGCCCTGGACTGGAATCAAACCCGGGACCCTTCAGTCCGCAGGCCGACGCTCTATCCACGGAGCCAAACCAGCTAGGGCAGCAAACAGTATTTTTTAATGGAATAGAATAGAAATACCTGAGTGTATTAAACATAGTTAGGGTAGATTGCAATTTTTGAAATTTTTATTTACATATGTGATGTGTCTAAGTGTGTACTAGGTCACAATAGAAAATAAATTTCTTACTATGGGTCCTGGTCAGAAATATGTGAAAGCCACTATGCTAGAGCCTTTCTAACATGGAGTTGATTCTAACTTTGACCATATGACTGAATAAATTCTGCTGGAGTAAAGGAAGCTGGAGAGCAAGGTCTCTCGATTCCTAGAAGGTGGCCCTAGATCTTGCCTTACACTTGGAGACCCCAGTTCCCGCCTGCTCTCTGCCCACCTGCTGCCTCCACCCATCCATTAAAGGCCCTCTACACACAGGGGACAATGCCCTGGGAGGACCCAGGGTGTCTTTAGCCACTTACGGCAGATGCATATCTGTGAGCAGGATCTTCACGATCATCTTGAGTTTCTCAGCGAAGGTGGCCTGGCTGGAAACACCTGAGGCAGCCATGCTGAACGTGACCAGCAGCACCGCCCCCAGGACGGTCAGGTGTTCCAGCTGGAGCTGGAGCTCTTGGAAGCGAGCCTGGTCCATCAGCACTGTCTGTGATGAAAACAGAAATCACCCTTGAGCTATAAACTCAGGCTGCCAGCAGAGGGCGGTGGGGCCACAGCCCCCACACAGCCCTCTAAAGTTTCCCTCAGATTTCCTAGTCATTTCACAGCCATAAAGAAATCATGTGTGAATTATCCTTCCATTCACACGTGGGCTAAGACTCGGAGCCCCTTCTTCCTCAGAGAGGCTGCAGTAGAGCACACCCATTAAGAACACGAAACAGCCCTAACTGGTTTGGCTCAGTGGATAGAGCATCGGCCTGCGGACTCAAGGGTCCTGGGTTCGATTCTGATCAAGGGCATGTACCTTGGTTGCGGGCACATCCCCAGTGGGAGGTGTGCAGGAGGCAGCTGATCGATGTTTCTCTCTCATCGATGTTTCTAACTCTCTATCCCTCTCCCTTCCACTCTGTAAAAAATCAATAAAATATATTTAAAAAAAAAAAAGAACACGCGACAGATTGGGTGTGAGCCAGACTCTGTCATTTAATAGCAGCATAAACTTTTTTTCAACTCAGCCCTAAGCAGAACGAGGATTCCTACCTCAAAAGGCTGTTTTAAAGATGAAAAAAGACCATGTATCTAAAGTGGCAGCCAGAGGCAACACTCAATAAATAGAAATTATGCCTGTCCAGTATGGCTCAATGGTTGAGCATTAACCTATGAGCCAGGAGGTCACTATTCGATTCCTGGTAGAGGGGGTGGGTGCTCATGCCTGGATTGCAGGCTCCATCCCCAGTGTGGAGCGTGCATGAGGCAGCTGATCAGTGAGTCTCCCTCACTATTAATGTTTTTATCTCTCTCCCTCTCCCTTCCTCTCTGAAATCAATACAAATACATATTTTTAAATAAAATAAATAGCCCTAGCTGGTTTGGCTCAGTGGATAGAGCATCGGCCTGTGGACTGAAGGGTCCCGGGTTTGATTCTAGTCAAGGGCACATGCCCAGGTTGCGGGCTCAATCCCCAGTGGAGGGCATGTAGGAAGCAGCCGATCAATGATTCTTTCTCATCATTGAAGTTTCTCTCTCTCTCTCCCTCTCCCTTCCTCTCTGAAATCAATAAAAATATATATACTTTAAAAAATTTTTAAAAAAATAAATAGAAGTTACATTATTAGATAGGAAAGGGTAATGAGGTACAGAGCACGGGTAACCAACTCATCCAAGTTTGTCCAGGACTGTCTCGGTTTTAAAACAGAAATCCCCAAGTCCTGTGAACCTCCACCATGGTAAGAGTGAAATGCTCCACCTCTCCGACTCCACTGTGCAAGGCTGCCTAGTTTCAGGGCCTTCAGGCTAATAGCTCCTGCTGTGTCTGGCATACAGACATGCTAATCACTAGAGGAATTCTGCTGTGGCTGGAGTTTTACAAAATCAGCCCCTCCCACATTCCATTGGGTTGGTGTAAAAGAAGCCTGAACTCTGTACTTTCAGAAGGTGGATTTGAGGATGAGGTCTCCCATCTTCTTGGTGCCTTCTTGATCAATAAACCTCCCCTTAGACTCTGATGTTTTGAGTTTTAGTCTTTCCAAGCATTGAGCACACAGACTTTGGACCAATAATACCACCCTCCCCACAACACATACACACACACATCAGTCCTGGGCAAACCAGCGATTCACCTTATCTGGTACCAGAGTGAAGGAGGAGAGAAAGTCCTTGAGGGCAGAGCCTACACTTATTCACCCTCAGTACCCAGCAGAAAGGAGATGCTCAAGAATTGGTAAGTGGTTAAAGAAAGAGAAAAAAACAGTAAACGGAAAAAGTGGGAATGACAGGTAATAACCCAAAGCCTCCTGGAAAGCAGTCAGTGGTGAATTTCCATGGCTGTGTCCTGTGTTAAAGACACCCTGGGTCCCCCAGGGCAATGTTCCCTGCGTGGAGTGAGGGAAAGAGCAGAAGAAAGACTGAGGAGATATGACTTCTGATCTGAGTTTTTGCAGGTTACTCAAATGAACTTTCAGGACCAGTCTTGCTATACGAAGCTGACACTCCAACTCAAGGCAATAACAATTTGGGGTCTTAGCCCAGAATCCGTCTCGAGGAGTAAAAATTATCCTTGAAGATTGAGATTCAGTTGTTAAACACAAATGCCTTAACCAACTCCGTCTCTTGTTTTTACTTCATTTTGCTACACAGCAGCGTCCTTACTTTGATGGCTCCCAATAGAATGCAGTATAGTGAGTTTAGGACGCCAAAGATTCCCAAAAATCAATTCCAAAAGTAATCATCTATCCCCGATGAAACACCATCCTCTTCACGGCTATTTTTTTAAGGCTGAGAACTGCCCTCCAGCAGAGAACCCGCTCCCGACTCCCTACCCCTAATCCAGCACCCTCTTGAGGCACAAAACACGGAACTCAGAGGCAAGAGATGAACCTTAGGCTTTCAATGTCATGAAAACAATCATAAGGAACTTAGAGATAAAGATATTTAGAGAAGTAGCAGTGCCTGCGGCTAGAGATCAGAAGCCTGAGTGCCCTCAAAAAAGAGGGGGAGTCTACACACCAAACCAGCTATTTGCAGACAAAATGGGGAAATTCCTTGTTAGTCATCTCCTCAAAGACTGCTGCAGTTAGAACTTATTGTGAAAAACATAGTAAGAAAAAATATTGCTCGGCATGGAAAGGGAAGAAGTTTCTTTAGATAAAACTAACAGGCACCATCACTGCTACTGTTTGATCAAGAGGAGTAACAGGATAGCAGTTGAGCAGCACAAGCTGGAAGCCCCATACATTGCTGATGGGACCATAACATGAGCAGCTACTTTGGAAACCAGTTTGGCTGTCCCTCAAAATGTTAGAGTCACCACATGACCCAGCAACTAATCGTTTGAGATACCCAAGAGAACGGAAAACATACGTTCACACAAAAACTTGTACCCAAATGTTCACAGCTGCTTATCCACAATAGCCAAAAAGTAAAAACAATCCAAATGTAATCCAAATGTTCATCAACTGGTAAAGGAATAAACAAAATGTGGTATTGCCATGAAGCCTTAAAAAGAAATGCTGACACACGCTACAACATGGATGAACTTTGAAGACGTTATGCTGAATGAAACACGCTAGACACAAAAGGACAAACACTGTATGATTGAACTCATATGAGGTACCCAGAGTAGTCAAAATCAGAGTCACAAAATAGAATGGTGGCTGCCAGGGGCAGAGGGAGGAAAGAATGAGTTACTGTTTAAAGGGCACATAGCCCTGGGTGGGGAGTTCAGTTGGGAAGAGTATGGTCCCAAAACACCAAGGTTGCGGGTTTGATCCCTAGTCAAGGCACATACAAGAGGCAACCAATGAATGCATAAATAAGTGGAACAACAAATCGATGTTCCTCTCTCTCTTTAAAATCAATGAAAAAAATTAAAAATTTAATTTAAAAATAAAATAAATAAAGGGTACAGTTTTAATCTGTGAAGATGGAAAAGTTCTGGAGATGGATGGTGGTGATGGCTGCACAACAATGTGAATACTTAAGGCCTTCAGAGGCCCTGGTGCATTACTGAACTATATACTTAACACTGATAAATTCTGTAATGTGTATTTTACAAAGAAAAATACAACTAAAAAAAAAAAAGGAATGACATACTGACACATGCCACAACATGGGTGAACATATCTTTAGTGAAAGAAGCCAGACACAAAGGCTGATACTGTATGATTCCACTTATAAGAAACGTCCAGCATAGGCAAATCCACAGAGACAGAAAGTAGATTCGTGGTCAGGGGTGGAGGTGGAGGGCGGGGGAGGTAGTGACTGCTAATGGGTACAGGGTTTCTTTTTGAGGTAATGAACATGTTCTGAAATGAAATAACGGTAATGGTCACATTACTCTGTGAGTATCCAAAAAAAACCCCACTGAATTGTACAATGTAAAAGGGGAAATGTTGTGGTATATGAATTATAGCATCACAAAACTATTATTTTTTAAAAGTTCAGCAGCACAAAAAGAAATGAGCAGTTACCCTGCTCTGGAACACTTACCTCGGGGAAAGGTTGCTGGAGGTGGTCCCACTTCAGAAGCTTCAGGTACGCGTAATTCTGGACAGCAACAGGACTAGGCATGGGACTGTCCCCCGATCCAGCGGCCCCTCCCCCAGCTGGCAGGGCATTTTTATACGTCTGATTCATAAGGTCATCTGCGGCTTCTCCCAACCACTGGGTGACAAAGTCCAGGGAATCTGTGAAAAACAAGGCTGTGGGCATTACTGTAACCATCAGGAGGCATGCTTCTCGGAATTACCTTTGGGAAGACCATCCTGGAGGTGTGGTAGATAGAGTACAGAGAATGGACTTTGGAATCAAATAGAACTTGGTCCAAAATCACAGTATCACTAATTACTGGCTGAGTGATCTTAGGCCAAGTCATAATCTGTCCGAACATCAGATTCCTAAAATAAGGAAGTGTGCATCACGTGACAGTCTGTTGTGCGGATGAAACAAGATTGTGCCTATAAAGCACCTAGCCTGGCCTTGCCACCTACAGAGGGTCAATGACCTGCTCTCTTCTCTCCCACCCTGGCTTTTCCTTGTCTAGATCTTAGTCTCGGATCAAGCTGGTTTACCATCAGCCTTGCGGGAGATGAGCTTTGTCACACATTTGATGTGTATTATGCAGCGTTTGGAGCACTGTTGGGCACCTCAGTTGTCTTTCATCCACTATCACCCTCTCCCTACTTTTCTAAGCAGAGTAAGGCACCAGGGACTCTGAAGGACACAAGAGAAAGAAAATGAAGCTCCTGCCCCATTATCTGAGCAAGAAATCCCTCTGGCAGGTCCTGGAACGGGCTCAGCTCTGCCAGTGGAGTCCACCTGAAAACCCGTGGGCAGCCAAGGCCATGGCTGGAGTTCACTCTTGGTTGATGCAGGAGGACACACCTCTGCTTCTGTCAACACAGGGATCACACGGAGCTCTTGGTTCTGAGCTTCGCTCTTGCTTTAGCCTTCTTCTGCCAACAGCATTCTCAAGGCCCAGCAGCTTTGGGAAACCTCAGCTTTTATGCTGTGAGTATTAAGTTCTAGACTCTGGCCAGCAGTGTGCCCTTCGCGGGGTCCGGGCTGCCGGACCTGGCTCTCACACTAAGTCTCTTCCGCCAGTCAGACCGCAACCCTGCATGTCTCCTGAGAGGCAGGACAACACTGGCTGAGGAAGTGAGCTGTGTGGTCAATCAATTCTAGCCAAAAATCTCTCAAATCTATGTCCACATCTATAAAATGAGGTTAAAATATAGGGCCCACCTCAGAGGCTTAGTGTGTGAGGGTTATACTTGATAATGCACGTACACCCTGGGCACAAGCCTGGGACGGAACAAACATCAGCCAGTCTTCCTCTGGTCTGATACTTCTACTCTGCTCTGTCCTTCTCCTCCTGGCCCAGCACCATCCCAACTTCCCTGTCTGGGGCGGGATGAACAACTGCTCAGGGCTGAAAGAACTATTGTGGTCCGGCAACACAGTCTATGCCGAGACAGGCACTTTCACGTTGTGATCAGCCAAGCTACAGGCTAAACGGGACTAGTCTTAAAATAGATGTGAAGACTGGAATTTACCCAGACAATAGCTGCGAATACAGAGACCCACAAGTCACCCTCGAAATGCAACGTAATTTTGGATTCTATAGTCATCTGTTTTCCTGCAGTCGTCTGAGAGGTTCATAAAAGTAAGACTTTTCTGGGTCTGAAGACAGATTTATGAATATGAAACAGAAGCAAAGTGAAATTTCTTGATGCACCTCACAGCGGGGAGAAAAGTGACTCCAACAGTCTCAAGAAGTTTGTCATGTTTGTTTCATTTTTTAATTTAATTTAATTTTTTATTTCAAAGAGGAAAGGAGAGGGAGAGAGAGATACCAACATCAATGATGAGAGAGAATAACTGACTGGCTGCCTCCTGCAAGCCCCACACTGGGGACCCAATCCGAAACCCCAGGCGTATGCCCTGACCGGGAATCGAACTATGATCTCCTGGTTCATAGGTTGATGCTAAACCACTGCGCCATGCTGGCTGGGCTGTCATGTTTTAAAATCAAGGCCAAGCACAAAATTTATCTCAAATTGGTGTCACCATTAAAAACCTATTTAAGATCATCATTCTTTCAATTTTCTATTCTTTTCTTTAATCCTTACTCAAGAATGTGTGTTTTTTATTGATTTGAGAGAGAGAAACTTCAGTTGCCTCCCATATGTGCCTGGACCGGGGATTAAACCCACAACCTGGGGATGTGCCCTGACCAGGAATCAAACATGTCACCTTTCGGTGCACAGGACGATGCTCCATCCAACTGAGCCACACTGGCCAAGGCTCAAATTTGTATTTTTATATCCTACTTATATTTCTCGTTTGTCAATTAAACTTTCTTTTCAAGTACTAATGTCTGTGCTTTTCTGTCTTCAAATAAGACTATTCTCACACTAAAGTTTTGTTTTGAAAATAATATTGTTATGCAACAAGCTACAGCAACTAAAATAAAAAAAAAACAGACAACAAAAGAACATCCCAAAACATTTAAACATACTTGGCTGCTTCTCCAAAAGCTCTTGAAACTTCTTCCTTTCATATTCAACTGACTGCTGCATGAGATGTGGCCTGATGCTACTGACAGCAAAGTTCGCCATGTCCACTTTCATTAGGTCCAACACAGAAAAAATTGCCCTAAAAGAGGAGAGCAAAGGATTTAGAACTGGACACTTGTAATGTAAACATAGTTTTAACAAAAAGAGGTGATCTGAGACAGTCTTTTCATCTCAGAAAGGTTGGCAAGAAAAGTTAGAAAAATCATGAGAAAGTGAATTAAGAAAAACACATTTAGAAAACACAAAAGCTTAAGTAATAGTTTGAAAAGACTGCAAATTTTTAAGCTGCTTTCTGTCCCCACCCCTTTACCCCTTGCCCCCAAGCAAACATAGCTCTCCCCACTGCCTGTCTAGACCAGAATGCATTCCTTGGCTTTGGGGCAGCCCTCACAGCAGCCACAGAGGAAGGAAGGAGCCAAGATTCGAGGTTAAGGGCAGAGAGCTCATCACCCAATAGCTACTCTCACATAGGTTAATTCACTTTCCTAGGAGAGAAAAGAAGTTAACTCTCCTCTCTCCTCTCCTCCTACCTCAGTGTCTCTTACTTCAGGGCTTTACATTCTAGTTCTGGTGGCAGAACTGCTGTTTCATTCTCCGAATGTACCCAATGAGCAGACTTGACACAGTCATCCCATCTTAAGAACCTATCTTTAGGAAATAACCTAAAATACAGGTAAAAGTTTTGTGCACAAAGATGTTCATTGCTGGGTTAAATAGTAAATAATTATACATAATCTAATTGTCGATTTTCACGCACACACAAAAACCTTAATTATATGCAAATGAATATTTTGCAGCTATTGAAAATGCTTATAGGGAGTTTTTTAAAAATCATATAAGTTGGTCATAAAAGGGCAATGCAAGAGATCCTTGTGGTGTTAAAACTGTTCAGTAAATTAAATGTGGTGGCAAATACACAAATTCACACAGATAATAAAATCATATAAAAATACACAAGCACACAAATATATATACAAGTAAATCAGGAAACCTAAGTGAGAGTAGTAGTATCAATGTCAACATTCTGGTTGCAATACACTACATTTTACAAAATGTTACCATTGAGGGAAAACTGGATAAAGTGTACTATATTATTTCTCACAACTCCATGTGAATATACAATATCTCAATGACACTTTAAATTTCCAGAGACATGGAAGCATGGAACAGATGCAGAATCTCAGAGGGAAGGTGGGGGAGAGTAGGTGGGTGGGGGGTAATCAACCAAAGACCTTATATTCATATATGCATAACCCATGGACACAGACAATAGGGTGCTGAAGGCCTGGGGCGGGGAGCAGGGGCGGGCTGCAGGGGGTCAATGGGGGGGGAAGAGGGGGACACATGTAATACTTTCAACAATAAAGAATTATTTTTTTAAAAATAAGTGAAATGATTAGGGTATAATGTTAACAGAAAAAGTCAGGCCTGCAATGCCCACTAAGTCTCCTCAGGTTCAACTGAATATTCAGACTCACAAGACTATCCTAAGCCACAGCCTTGGCACCATCTATTCACACAGCTTGCCAACAGGGCAGCTCCAAACACTCCTCTTCAACAAGAGTTACCAGTACCAGCCACAAGCACAAAACTCAGGCATGTGGGAGCCACCTGGCTTTTAAAAGCCTCAGGTGAGAAAATATTTTTTTTAATTTATTTTATTGTTTAAAGTATTACAAATAGTAGTACATATGTCTTCTTTTTTTCCCCATTGACCTTCCCCTGGCCTCCCCTAATCTCCCCCCACCCCCGGCACATGCCCTCACCCCACCCCCCCAGTGTCTTGTGTCCATTAGTTATGCTTATATGCATCCCTCAACACTCCCCAGCCTTCCTGCTGTAATTTGACAGTCTTCAGGTGAGAAAATATTTTGTAACAAGTCTACAGCATGGCTTCCAGGGTCCTCACTAGGGGTCCAATTATAAAAGCTACCTCACTAACGGAAGTTCAAAGTATGGTGTCCCATCCAGTAGTTATAGTTCATTATCATTCCTTTCAGTCCAGACACAATTCACCAATCAGAGTTCACTTTCCCCATAAGCAATGTTGCCTAGTACCATTTTGATACAAAACATCTGTATCTGTTCACAGGAACACACAGCTAAGCAGTTAACCAAAAGTCAAAGTCTCAGGCAGCATCAGTCAATTCTTTGTCCACATTAGCATAACAATTATATAAATTTAATAATAATGATATATATTTAAATATAAACATGCAAAAGACCAAAGAAAGTTAATATAAAATATGTTAGTTAATAGGATTATATTAAAGTTAAATTTATTGAATGTCTTGTTTGTATTTTGATTATATAGAATGTCTACATTCTTAGGAGATGCTGAAATATTTAAAGGTGAAATGTCACAATGTCTGCCATTAACTCTCACAAGGTTCAAGAGAAAAAAACATACACACATGCATACATACTCACAAGTATATATAAAGAAAGCAAATTGGGAGCCCTGGCTGGGTGGCTCAGTTGGCTGGAGCATCATCCTGTACACCAAAAAGGTTGTGGGTTCAATTCTTGGTCAGGGCACATGCCTAGGTTGCAAGTTCCATCCCCGGTGGGGGCGTGTATAAGAGGCAACCAATCAAGGTTTCTCTCTTACATCGATGTTTCTCTCTCTCTCTCTATCTCTCTCAAATCAATAAAAACATATCCTCGAGTGAAGAATAAAAAGATAAAATAAATAAACAAAATACAAAGAAAGCAAATTGACAAAATGTTAAAAATTGGTGGATCTACATAAAGGGTATATGAGTCATAATTATACTGTTTTTGTGACTTTTCTGTAGATTTGGAATAAAAAAAACATTAATGGTAAAAAAAAAACTAAAAATATATATATTAACATTATAACAGTGATTGTGCCTTTTGGTGGTAAAGTTATGGGTGAACTTTTTCCTTCTTTCTACCTTTCTATGTTTTATAAAATGTTTGCTTTTTAACATTTTTTTAAATGCCTGAGTTATCTGCCCTAGCCAGTTTAGCTCAGTGGATAGAGCGTCGACCCACAGACTGAAGGGTCCCAGGTTCAATTCTGGTAAAGGGCATGTACCTCGGTTGCAGGCTTGATCCCTGGCCCTGGTCGAGGTGCGTGTAGGAGGCAACCAATCAAAGTGTCTCTCTCACATCAATATTTCTCTCTCTCTGACTCTTCCCCTCCCTTCCACTCTCTCTAAAAATCAACGGAAAAATATCCTCGGGTGAGGATTAACAATAACAACAAAAATGCATGAGTTATCTATATTTGAGAAGAGGTTTTTGAAAAGAGGTTCTGTGTTCTAGGTGCACTTGAGGTGATTAACACGACTCTCATACCTGAAAAGGGCCTTTAGCTTCTTGACTTCCTCATCTCGAGCAGGTGCACACAGGGTCCCCATCATGCCAATAATGAATTCAACCAGCTTGGAAATGTCAAGGGCCCCATTCTCTGCCTCCTGCTTTATGAGCTCCAGATCCAAGACTTCCGTAATCTGGTTTCTCAGTCTAGTGTGACCAGGCAGCAAGAAAGAAAAGAGAGTCTGCAAAAGAGTACAGCCAAGTTTAATCAGTTTAATCAGTTTCCTAGTCAGACATCACTTTTTATTATATATACAGGAATTTACTCCTACCCAAATGAGGACTTTCCAACTGTTACTATAAGGCTGCACATATTTTAACCCCTCATTCAACAAGTCTACAGAAAAACATGTCTACAAATCATTTAGAGCTATTTAAGTTTCCATTTAAGTTCTAGGTAACGCTCAACTGGATGCAATATGAATAGAAGTGAGAAAAGTAAAACACATTAATTAACACAAGCCTGTGAACCAACCACAGATGCCAATTTCCACAGAAACATCTCTTCTTTGATACTACTGTTAAAGGTATCACAAAAACAGCCCTACCTTTCACTTAAGGCCTTCTCTATTCCTCAGGCTGAATCACTTTTTGGCCACTATAAATTGAACGTGTCCACACCTATTGAAAATTTTATAAATCACCTATAATTCATAAAATAAATTTTCTCGAAATAATTCTATTTTTTTAAATATTAACCTTTTCTTTGTCTACAAAGGAATGCCTTCAGGTTACCATAGCTTGTTTGAAACTTTAAAAAGGGCTTTAAGCCAAAGGTACTCAGTCCACATTTCGGCAAGTAATTTAACTGCAACCTTAACTTCTTTAGTCTTCTGGCACAGCAACACGGAGAAGCTGAATATCCCTAACACACCAGAAAAGCACCACAATTTGCTCTTCACCTTACCTCTTTGATCTCCCCGAGAAGTTTAATGGCATGGTCATAGGTTGGGGGGTCCTCACTTAGCTGGACACTCAAGCAATCCCAAAAAGCTTTATGCACAATCTCCTTTACTTTCTTCTCCAAACTGGAGGCAAATGGGGGAGGGGGGAAGCAAAAACAAACAAAATATTTGAGCTCAAATCACATTTTAAAAATTAAAACAGCTTTTTTTGAACTATGATTTACATACTATAAAATTCACCTTGCCAAAGCCGGTTTGGCTCGGTGGATAGAGCGTCGGCCTGCGGACTGAAAGGTCCCAGGTTCGATTCCGGTCAAGGGCATGTACCTGGGTTGCCGGCACATCCCCGGTGGGGGATGTGCAGGAGGCAGCTGATCGATGTTTCTCTCTCATCGATGTTTCTAACTCTCTATCTCTCTCCCTTCCTCTCTGTAAGAAATCAATAAAATACATTTAAAAAAAAATAAAATAAAATTCACCTGTTTTAAGCATACCATTCAAAGATTTTTAGTAAACGCATCAAGTTGTGCAACCATCACCACAGTCCAACAAAACATTTCTATCACTTCAGGAAGACCACTCGTGCCCAAGTTGTGTGCCAGGTTCCAAAGATGCCTGAAGGCATTCCCAGAGTACAGGCCATTGGGCTTGGCCACCCTGCCCCCTACCCTCGACCTGGTTGAATACGACATATCTCCAGAAACCTGGAAGGCACAAGCTGAGCAGGTGGCCATAAGATACCTGCTTACAAGAGAGTACCTGCTTCAATACAACGAACCCAACCTCCTAGAGCCCATTGAAGATCCTGCTTTGAATCATTGGGCCTACACAAGATCAGCAAATGCCTATCCCAATTTCAGACCCACTCCCAAGGCCTCACTCTTAGGAGCTGTGATTGGAATTGGGTCCCTCTTCTCTGGTATTACATTTTTTAAACTGATAGAGAGATAGGAAAGAAAAACTTATCCAGGAAGGAAAATTGGATCAAACATTTAACATCTCACATTAAGTCTAGTATGAGGACTATATGTATTATTGTTTAAATAAGTCTTCTATTAATTATTATAAAAAACAAACATCCTTGTGCCTATTAGGAGTCACTGCCCAGTTCCACCCCAACCCAGGCAATCACTAATCTACTTTCTGTCTCTATAGATTTTCCTTCTCTGAATTTTTCATGTAAAAAAAATTGTACAGTATGAGGATTATGGGTCTGGATCCTTTTACTTGGCAAAATGCTTTTAAGCACTGTCATCCATATAACATGTATCAGTGCTTTGATCCTTTTTATGACTGAAAAATATTCCATTACATGGATATACCACATATTATTTACCTATTCATGTGATGATGGAACATTTGGGTTATTTCTACTTTTGGCTATTATCAAATCACTTTCAAAAACACAAATTCTACAGGTTTAGGGTGAGAATTTTTTTTAATTGGAATAAAGGAAAGATTTACCAGACATACTTAAACTAATCACGTCTTCTTATTTTTAGTTAGTGATTTATTTCAATAAGTACCTCACTGGAAAGAATAACTTTCAACTAATTTGACAGATGGCATTAAACCAGTTAACAGCATTAACAATTCCATATGATAAAAAGAATATTGGAAAGTTTAGGGCTGTTAATTTTTAGTTTTTTTTATACCATCAAGTTTCCTAAGGTATTTACGATTAAGTAGTTTAAAATAACAATCCGGCATATATATAGTTTAAAGCACTTTATTTCTTAAAAAATATCCTATTTCCATGTGATATATGAAACAACTGCTTAGATGAGGTACCAAACTATAACAACTTATAACACTTCATTAAAACTGGTAATTATCGCCCAGCCAGTGTGGGTGTGTGGGTCAGTGGTTAGAGCACCAGCCCACATACTGATGGGTTGACGTTCGGTTCCTGGTCAAGCGCACATATCTGGGTTGTAGGTTCGATCCCTGGCCCCGATCAGGGCACATGTGGGAGGCAACCAATCAATGTGTCTCCCTCATATCGATGTCTCTGTCTTTTTGTCTCTGTCTCTCTCTCTCTTCCCCCCTTCCTCCTTCCCTTCCACTCTCTCTAAAAAATCAATGGAAAAATATCCTTGGATGAGGATTAATAAAATAAATAAATAAAACTTGTAATTATACTATGAGAGCAAAACAAGTAATTCTGCATTATTTTTTTAATATATATTTTATTGATTTTTTTTACAGAGAGGAAAGGAGAAGGATAGAGAGTTAGAAACATCGATGAGAGAGAAACATCGATCAGCTGCCTCCTGCACACCTCCTACTGGGAATATGCCCGCAACCAAGGTACATGCCCTTGACCGGAATCGAACCTGGGACCTTTCAGTTCACAGGCCGACGCTCTATCCACTGAGCCAAACCGGTTAGGGCTAATTCTGCATTATTAATGTGAAAAAGTACTGTCTTGGCAAAACACATAAGAAATGTCTGTAAAGTCATATTTAAAAGCCTATTGTGGGAGACAATAGCACTTGCCAACCCAGCAGCCATTCCTCCTCCTTTTTTTCTTCCATGGCACTTTCACAATTATAATGGCCAATGATTTTTCTTTCTTATGACCATACATCTTAAAAAGTGCACCTTACAATCAATAGAGTATTAGATTCAATATGGTATTTGCCAGGTGCTAGGGATACAGAAAATAAGGTATAGTTCTTGTCTATAGAGCAGGGGTGGGGAACATCCAGCTGGGCCATATAAGGCCCACAAAATCACTTGGGCTAGCCCTGCCAAAGCATTAGGGGGAGTTAATTAAGTGTTCGACCAAATATAGCAGGCTCATTTTTAATTTGATAATTTTGTATAGCCTTCGAATGATGTTAAAAATATCTAAGTGGCCCTGGGCAGAAAAGGTTCCCCACCCCTGATGTAGAGTTTACAACCTGTTAAGAAGCACAAGTAAACCAACAGCTACAGTGCAATGTGATAGTTACGAGAAATGAATGAAACAAGCAATGAAAACACAGTAGGAGGCAGCTAAGTCCTATGGAGAAGGGAGAAGTGAACATGAAAGATTTTTACATTTTTGAAGGATCAATGGTCCTTCGATCCACTTTCAAACTTGAGTAATTCTTGGTAGAGGAGTATTTTTTAGAAACATACAAAAGGAGAGGTGTATTTGAATATAATGACATCAACTGAAGAAAATATTCTCAGAACTGGGAAATGACAGTATTCTACTAAACAAGTAACTTAGTAACCACCTTACCTATCTTCTGGTAATTCAACAGGTTTAATCTGGAAGTCTCCATTGACTACAATTTCATGGGCTAGAGCCATGTTAGTGACTCCTTTTGCCGTCTCTAGAAGCTCTTCTACTGTCACAAAGCGAGGAGGACTGGCTGTAACAAAAAACCCAGTATAAGAGATTTGCTTCTCTAAATTAGAATTTCTATTAAAGTAAGGAGAAGGCAGTGGTTCCGGTACCAGCTAGTAATTTTTGGTTAGGCCTCTACTTATGAAAATATTCCAGCAATTTCAAACAATAAACCTATTTATTATTATTTTTTAAATCTAGAGTCCTAAAAGCAGAAATCGTTTACAATGCTTAAAACATGTTTTGTTTTACTAAGACTGGTCAATGAGAAATGATTACAATGAACTGAGACAGAAAAACTTTTACAGACTATCAATCCTAAATGACAAACAAGAGACGCCAGATTTAAGATTTCCTGTTTTGCTCCCATGAGCAGTTTACATTTTGCTGCATCAATAACTGTCCATGAATGAATCTCCCCAAATTAAAACAGCAGCAAGTACTTCAGGTGCCAGGTGCTGTTTAAACATTGCTAAAACGCTACCCTGTACAGATACCAAGAGAGAATATGAGTTCTAAAGCTGAACAATGAAGAAATCAGAGGGTGTGTGACACAAGAACTTTGTAGAGTACAGGTTCACTGTATCAAAACCTTGAGTCCTCTGATTTCTCCCATCCCACTGCCCTGATATCCAAGTCCTGTAGATTTCACTTCCGTATCAACAGCTGCAATAACTGGACTCCATCTCTCCCTCTCCTTTGGTAAAACTTGAGATTTATCTTCCAGAAATCTCCCCAGGTGTTCTGAGCCAAGGAACACTGGATAATTCTGATAAATACATGAATTTTTTTGTGTATCAATAAAGCTGTTTTTAAAATAAAGTCCATGATAGCAGTTCTTTAGCCTATAACAGAACAGGGGGTAGGGGGTAGGGGGTAGGGGCAGGGGAGAAATGCTGTGAAAACAGATTGCTGATTGAGCTGATCTGGGGTAGGGCCAGAGAATCTGCATTTCTCACACGTCTCCAGCTGATACTCATGGTTGCAGAAATCATACTTTGAAAAGCAATGGCCTAGAAGATGACAATATTAATTTTATGTCATCTGACAGGATCTGGGCTTAAAATGAGGTAAATAATGTCACTGGTTTACACAGGGTTTAATAGTTACAAAGTTTTTAAGTTGGTGAAAGTAATTTTCCTTCCTCTTTTACTTTTTTCTTTTGCTCAGCAGAAAAAGGGAACTAAATCCAAGAGCTGGTCATACACCGTCTGGTAAAAATTTTTATTTGGTCACACAAGGGGAAGTTGGAAAAATGCAACAAAATTCTAAGCATTTCCAGAAAAATATTAATAAAAATAATAATAATTTGCTTCATTAATATTAAAATAGAATAAATACCCCAAATCACAGATCAACCAAAGAGAGCAGAAGATGCAGAAATAGGTGAATACAACACACACATACAGGAACTATACATGTGGTCAATAAGGCAAAATTAATTTTTTGATCAAATGGTGCTGGAACAATTAGATAGCATATGTATAAAAAATGACTCCCGACCAGGCCAGTGTGGCTCAGTTACTTAGAATGTTGTCCCACACACCAAGAGGTAGTGGGTTTGATTCCAAGACAGGACACATACCCAGGTTGTGGGTTTGATCCCTAGTCTCAAGTACAGGAGGCAACGAATTGATGTTTCTCTCTCACATTGTTTCTTTCTGTCCCTCTCTTCCCCTTCCTCTCTCTAAAATCAATTTAAAAAAACCCACATATCTTTGGGTGATGACTTAAAAAAAAGGGGGGGGGGGCAAAATTATAGCGACAGAAAGCAAATCAGAGGTTGCCCAGGGATGGTGGAGAAAGGGGAAGATTAATGTGAAGGGGCACAGAAAATTTGGGGAGGTGATGGAAATGTTCTAGCAGCTCATGATTGTGGTGGTAGTGACACAACTGTAAATGTATTGGTGAAAACTCATCAATCTGCACACTTAAAATTGGTGAATTTTACTATGTAGTATAAATTATACCTCCATAAAGTTGATTAAAAATTTGAAGGCACTCAGTAGGAATTTACTATATATAAAATAATTACTAAATTTCTTAAAGCCAGTATTTTCTGTTACCATTCATCAGAAAATGGAACGTCCACTGTGGTATATCAATATCATGTATCAGGAGTTATTAAACTCTGAGTTCTTAATCTCTTAAAAAGAAATCCAGAGATTGTCACCAGGTCTTCCAAATTTGTTTTAACCTTGGTTTTGCAAAAATCTCCAAATGTATGATCATCTTAAATTTATGAAAAAACAGAAACACACCAAGCTCTCCTAGTAATAAAAAGGGTCCAATGCTTGCTATAATAATACAACATTAACTTTCGTCTTGGCTGCTGACACGCCATCGGGACCGAGGAAGACCTGGAAACTTCGGGGCCACATGAGCCACGGCCACAGCTGCATCAGCAGGCACTGGAAGCCCCAGAGGCTGAGGGAATGCTGGTGGCATGCGTCATCTCAGGATCAACTTGGACAAATATCACCCAGGTTACTTTGATGGCATTACCACTTAAAGAGGAACCAGAGCTTCTGCCCAACTGTCAATCTTGACAAACTGTGGGCCTTGGTCAGTGAGCAGACACAGGTAAATGCTGCCAAAACAAGGCTGGAGCTGCTCCTATCATTGATGTAGTGTGATCGGGCTACAGCACAGCTCTGGGGAAGAGAAAGCTCCCAAAGCAGCCTGTCATCATGCAGGACAAATTCTTCAGCAGAAGGGCTGAGGAGAAGACTAAGGGTGTGTGTGTGTCGGGCGGGGGGGAGGGGGGCGGGGGGGGGGGGAAGGCGGGGGAGGGTCTGTGTCCAGGTAGCTTGAAGCCACATGGACAAAAATTCATGAAACACTCATAAGTGCTTTCCCTCCCCACCCGCAAAAGGGTACTATGTTGACTAATAAATTATCTGGAAACACAAAAATGTTTGTACTTCTGCCAACTATGAAGAATTACTGATCATCTACACTTTAAAGAGATAACATCAGCAATGACATTCTTAGACTATGACATCCCCTCTTAAAACTTTCATTTTTGAACTCACTTCAAAAAACATAAGTATTCTTAATAAAAGACATGAGTTGGGGCAACTGCTGGGAATGTCTACGAAAAATGCCACCCTTTCATCTTAGGAGGCCTGCTCCCTGCCAGGGATCTGAAGTGTCTTTACCATGTATGTTCAGCAATTTGAATTCCTTCAACCTGTGAGAACTCAACCCCCAGGCAATGAACCTGGGGTGTGGTGAAGTCACTCCCGTTTAATACCCCCCCCGCTTTTTTTAACCTGCACAGGCACAGTCCTGGCTGGGACCTGCTTCAGACTTTCAAACACTCTTTTAATTAAAACTGCAATATAGACTCCAACCTCCTATTTTTCAGAGCACTTCAGAGAAACTGGAATGTCACTGAGGCTGCATGAAGACAGGAACATTCTGGACATTATTCAAAAACTTTAATTTCTCATGCAATTGAAAACCCACAAGTGACTAGGCTGCCAGTTAGAAGAGAAAGAAGAAACTGTTATTGTTCTTGAATGCTAATTAGTGGCAATGTTATCATATTACTAGAACCTAGCTCAGGGAGGCCTAATAAAAATATCATCTGAAAATATTGCTTTTAACCAACGTTAGATTTGCTTACAGTGAGGTCTTTGCACTCTCTGGGTGCTGGGAGAGCCTGACTTTTTTTTCTGTAAAGCTTCATTAGAACCTTCCACGGCATCTTCAAGGCCTTGTTCAGAATCATTTGATTTTGATTTTCCTGCTTCAATTATATTGGTCTTCTCAAGATTTTCAGACATTCTCAATTAAGTTTATTCACTTTCCTAAAAAGAAAAAAGATAATGAACCTGGGAAGAAAAAAAAGAAGCAAAATGTTTTAGCTCTGTCAGTAATTAGCAGTGTGACTCCTGACAAATCATTTAATCTCGTTGGGTTTCAGCTTTCTCATCTGGAAAAGTAATAGGCTTGCTAGGATCTTATCCAGTTATAATATTCTACTCCAATGATTAAACATACACTTTTGTTATTTATCAAATTAATGGACCTGTATCTCAGATGGAGAGTAACAAGTTTGAGTATTTTTGTCCCATTCCTGAGTACCATGTAACATTAGAACACAGGGCTATAAATTGCCTGCTTCCATTTTAATTCAAAGAGTGATTCGACTCTTAAAACTCTGTACTTTCACTCCTGAGTGCTGGTAGGAAAACTTTGGAAATCATGTGTTAATGTTTAATCAGGCTTCCAAGTGAACACACTGGCTGAGGAGTTGGTTCCCGGATCCCATTATGTGAATGAGATACGTTGGATGACGGATAGAAGATAGACTCTTATGAAGCATTTAAGAAGAATGTGTGGGGCAACTCCTTACCAGTCAGCAGAAAAGGATGATGAGTAAAGCAGGAAGTTGCCAATAACCATGATATATGTGGCTGGGTGCGGTTTTAATTTTTTTAGTTGCCGATTAGAATAGAAATAACATGTCAGTTTGGGCCAGTTAATAAAGGCCTGGAATAGTAACCTCTTATTTACTGTATAAGTTTTTGTCAAGTTGGTTTCCACCCCCATTTTAGAGTTCTCTATTCCTAAGGTATTTCCAATTGAGGGAGGAGAAAGATGAACATTCCGTTCCTGCACTTACACTACTGAAAATAATCAGTCTTGGTATTATTAGCATTTGAAGATCACAAAACATTTTCATAAACACTAATTAAACTTCATTACACACCTGGAAGGTAATCCAGAGATCAGAAGAAAGAGTCTATGGCAGACTCTTTTCTGCACATCAGAGAAGAATCACTTGATATAATTACCTGGAATTTTAGATACCACCATTAAATAGAATGAAGTTACTGGAATTTACATTTTCAGGCCTGTATTATTCATATGAAGACTCTTTATTATTCATATGAAGACTCTTTTCTTTCCTTCCTTCCTTCCTTCCTTCCTTCCTTCCTTCCTTCCTTCCTTCCTTTTTTCCTTCCTTCCTTCCTTTTCTTGAATGGCAGGTTGCCACATGCAGCACCTCATTTGAATGTGTCTGGAGTCTTGGAAGCTTGACTACCCTATGCTCTACAAATGGACCCTGAGAGCCTGTCTGGAGATTCTAGCAGGAGAGTGCAGCTACAAGAACAGTTAGTCCTCTCCTCTAGCGGGGAAAGCCATCTTCGACCAAGAGCACAGCTTGGGGAGAAAGGCAGATGGAGTGGTGAGGGAGGAAGGGGACACCTGCCTAACCAGCCAGATCAGCCGAATCAACCCTGGCGATCAGTGGGGTGACAGACGTTGCAGCCAGATCACCCTCAAGTCCTGAAGAGTCCATGTGGCTTGAAAACCGTTCCCCTTTACCGTCCAGCATCTCACTCCAGACACCCATCTCCTCTCTGTTCTAAATCCTATTTGGCTCTGGAAATGCTCCAAGAGCCAACAGATAACATTACCAGCAAATCCTAAGAGAAAGGACAAACAAAAACACTTCTAATTTTATCCCTTTCACATGCTGGGAATGAGCTCAAGAAGGATGAAGTAATTCATTCTATGCTCTGAGGAGGAAAGGCAGGAAACTTAGCTACATCAACTAACCCGTCCTTGTAAGATTAGGCTTGGGTCCACGCTCCTCCCAGGACCTTCCCCAACCTCACCGGTATTTGCACCTTTCTCTGAACTCCTGCACGACTAGACACCTGGCATTCACCATTGCCTTAAATCCAATTCAAAATATGCTTATTTAAATAGTAATAGAAAGACGAAAAGGCATGGTTTAGACGCAGTGGTTCTCAACCTTCTGGCCCTTTAAATACAGTTCCTCATGTTGTGACCCAACCATAAAATTATTTTCGTTGCTACTTCGTAACTGTAATGTTGCTACTGTTAGGAATCGTCATGTAAATATCTGACATGCAGGATGGTCTTAGGCGACCCCTGTGAAAGGGTCGTTCGACCGCCAAAAGGGTCGCGACCCACAGGTTGAGAACCGCTGGTTTAGAGGGAGAGAGAGACATTCTGACAAGGAAACACGGTGAAACTTAAGCCTTCATGGCATTATGAAATCACTAAGGAAATAGAGCAGAGGGAGAAACTAATTCTGCCTGCAAGGAGGTTGGTATTCCCAGAAAAGGGGACATTTGAGCTGGTCTTTTAGGAAAGAGTAGGATTTCATTCAATTAAAAACAAAAATGTATGGAGGGGGAGAGGGAGAGCACAAGTGGAGGCACATACATAAGTAGCATAAGAGGCAGGTGAGGAAGGGAAAAAGACGGGTTGGGGCCAGATTGTAAAATTGCTAGTTTTCTTTAAAAACAAACAAACAAAAAAACAACTTTTCACCTAGATTTTTAACTTCGTAAGGGCCAAGACCAACCATAGCCCCCACGTATGCTCCATGCAGACACCCACTAAGGCTCTGTTGACAGCTGTGTCATCGCAGTGATGTCGGTGTCTGCGGGAGGGATGGGCTTTGGTCTCGGACATGCACGGGTCCCCATGCTGGCCCTTTACTGGCCCCGCTTCCCCATCGCAGCTAGCCTACGCCTGTCCGGTCTGGGGGACGTTTAAAGGCAGACCGTGCAGGACAACAGATGGCACCCGACCGGCTTCCCGTGAATGGCAGGGGCGGTTCCGGGCTGGAGGATGCATTCACGCACTCAGTGCGCTCACTCACTCAACACTCCCCAGTGCCCGCCAAGCCTGGAAAGGGAGCCGAGGGGCGGGGTCCCCGCTCCGGCCGTGAAGACCGGCTCTCGGAGCTTCAGCCCGGGCCGAGCTGGACACCAGAGACGCCCCAGCAGAGAGGGTCTTTCGGCAAAACGCAGGGGCTCGGTCCACCGACGCCGGGAGCCACGTCCTCCCGCACGCGGCGCCACTCCTCCCAGACGCCTTTGTAAACAACTGTTTGGGCCGGCGAGGGAGTGGCCCAGCCGGGGAGCAGCGATGAGAGCGGGGCGCGCCCGGAGAACCGCCGCGAGGGGTGGGACGCAGGCCGCGCTAAACCCGCCCGAGGTCCCCGCCGCTTCCTCGCCTCCACCCGCCATCACCGGGACCCGGCCCGACGCGGGGCGGCGAAGAAGTGCCTGTCATTTCGAACTCGTGCTGACAGCCTCCGCGCCCGCTTCCCTCACCTGCGGCGGAGTCGGCGTTTTCCTAGCTGCGTCCGGGGCGGGGAATCTGGCTGGGCCGGCGCCCCGGCGGAGGCGGGGAGAGATGCGCGGCGGGCGGGGCGGTTCAGCCTCTGCCCCTCAAAGGCCACATCCCTCGCCGCGCAGCGGGCTGTCCTCCCCGCCGGGTAGCGGCCAGCGCAATCGCTCCTCTGCGTCGGGAAGCGGGAGGCAGCTTTTCACCTGGAGGCTTAAGCCCAAGGTGGGAGGCGCCATTTTCTGTACGGAAAGGCAGGGGGCGTGGCTAAGAACAGGGCGGCGCCATGTTTGTGTACGGAGAGGGGGCGTGGCTCAGAGCGGGGCGGCGCCACGTACGGAGAGTCCGGGGCTGAGGCCGGGTGTTCGCCTCAGGATGCGAGCGGTGGGAGAGGAGCGCGAGGTAGAGGAGGTGCGGCTTCAGGCAAGTGAAGGAAAAGGGCAGGTCGCCCAGCCGCGCCGCGATTCCCAGCTTCCCGGCCCAGGTTTCCAAATGTAGATATTACTTCAGATGTTGTAGTTGCACGTGGTTTATTGCCCTCCCCTCATCTTGGCTGTTAAAGTCATGCCCACCCCCTGGGCAGCCAGGCCTCAGGTTCATGGCACAGACGAGGTTTGGTTCTGGGGTCATTTCTTAGATTTTTAAGCGGCTGCTACACTTGGTGGATAGGAAGAGTGAGACTTTAGCCCTGAAAAGACGGAAGGCTTGGGCAGACGGTTCCCTCGAGGGCTCAGCCCGCTTTAGGGCCGTAGGCACAGGGACCGTCCAGGGCAGCCCCCGGAGCAGGCGTCCATCGGACGAGGCCGTTTTGCAGCCTCTCCTTCCTCCGTCCCAGGTGGTGGGGCCGTGACTGCCTCGAGGCTGCTCCCTGGAAGCCGTTCTACCCTCAGCCGGTAGCTGTAAAACAGCGCACGTGAAAAGAATCTTTTTTGTGCCTCATGTTAAAAAATTAAAAAAAAAAAAAAAGTGCGTGACTCCTCACTGTGTTCATTTGTGGGGAAAAAAAATGCACTTAAGACTGAGCACTAAATCATGCTTTAAACAAAGTGAAGGTAATAGTTGTCTTCTACCTGTAGCTTACGAACTTGTTATATTAAAAGAACCAGAATAAAGCAAGAGGGAGTGGAATTGGTGCTTGCAAGCACTGCTTCCGAAAGGGTAGCTACCCCGACAGTAGAGACCGCACGGAGGGACGGACGGACAACGCCCTCAAGCCCTTCCCTCGACAGCACGTGCACGTCCTCAGACCAGGGTTCACTTCCGGAGGGAAAAAAAACTTATCCAACTGGAACAAAGATTCACGAAGAAAACATGGAGTTTTCACTTCTGAGTCCAGACGGCTGTGCCCTCGAGTCTCTAGATTGGGGCGTCTCAACCCTGACTACACCTCGGCGTCTTCTGGGGACAGTCTATAAAGCTGCCACCCGAAACTTGGGGGGCAAAGGGGGATGATGCCAGGCAAGAATTGTTAAGCTTCCCAGGTGACCCTAAGATGCAGCCATACAGGAATAGCCTCCCTAGCAAGACCCACCCCGTCCCTCCAGCCCCGGTGACCGTGCTCTGCCTTCCTTGGATTAATATAAACGATTTTCACACGTGGAGAGGACCGTGTGACACCACCAAAACCTCTATTTGACTTAGTTCACCTTGTAACCTTTTGATATATTTTGAATTGCTTCCTTCGAATATTAAAAACATACTGACTTGTGTTTCAGTTTTGGCTACAAGGACTGGGAACAAATTACCTCAAGGTAAAGGGAGCTCCTGCGAGGCTGGCTGCACTAGGCTTTGGGAGGAGAAAGCTGGCAGCTCTAGAGATCGCTCCTGCTCTGTCATCCCAAGTCATCCCACCCCGCTTCCTGCTGCAGGCTATCGCACTCCCCTCTCTGCTACAGACTGCTCTCTCTTTTCTTTGTTGTTTCCTCATAGTTTAGTGTGTTTTTTTTAATCCTCACCTGATGATATTTTTGCCTTGATCTTTTAGAGAGTGGAAGAGGGAAAGACAGAAACATCTATTGGTTGCCTCTTGCACGCACATTAACCAATTGCAATTACGGATGTTATTTGGATCCCTATTCCAATAAACTGTCAAAATCATGTAAGATCAGAAAATGTGAACACTGACTACACATTTGATGATATTAAGGAATCGTGGGTCTCTGTGTGGTTATGTTTAATGTCCTTATCTTTTAGCCAAACATACTGAAATCTATATATATCTATATATATAAAAGCCTAAGTGATCGTTCAACCAGTACCTATGATGTGCACTGACCACCAGGGGGCAGACACTCAACACACAGGCATGGAAATATGGAACAGACTAATGAATCTCAGAGGGAAGGGGAGAGGGCAGGATGAGATTAACCAATGATCTTATATGCATACTAGAGGACCGTTGCATGAATTCGTGCACTGGTGGGGTCCCTCAGCCTGGCCTGCGGGGATCGGGCTGAAACTGGTAGTCCAACATCCCCCAAGGAGTCCTGGATTATGAGAGGACACAGGCCAGGCCGAATTACCCCACCAGTGCACGAATCTGTGCACCGGGCCCCTAGTTTATAGATAAAATGATATGTCTGAAATTTGCTGGGGTGGGACCAAGGAGTGGGTGGGAGTATAGGTGAAACAAGATTGACCATGAGCCCTAGCCGGTTTGGCTCAGTGGATAGAGCGTCAGCCTGTGGACTGAAGGGTCCCAGGTTCGATTCCAGTCAAGGGCATGTACCTTAGTTGCAGGCACATCCCTACTAGGGGGTGTGCAGGAGGCAGCTGATCGATGTTTCTCTCTCATCGATGTTCTCTCTATCCCTCTCCCTTCCTCTCTGTAAAAAAATCAATAAAATATATTTTTTTAAAAAAAGATTGACCATGAGCTAAGAGTTGTTGAAACTGGATAAGTATGTGGGAGTTCAGTATTCTGTTCTCCCCATTTTTTTAAACATATTGATTTTTTACAGAGAGGAAGGGAGAGGGATAGACAGTTAGAAACATCGATGAGAGAGAAACATCGATTCAGCTGCCTCCTGCACACTCCCTACTGGGGATGTGCCCGCAACCAAGGTACATGCCCTTGACCAGAATCAAACCTGGGACCTTTCAGTCCGCAGCCCGAAGCTCTATCCACTGAGCCAAACCAGTTAGGGCCTCCCCATTTTTTATATATGTTTGAAATTTTCCACAATAAGTTATAAAAGATGTTGAAGTTTTCAAAAGCATTAGGAAAGTTCAATTTCTAATTTGTCTACAGTCTTTGTTAATTAGTAAATTTACTTCATCAAATTTTGTATCTTTAAGGAATACCTCTTAAGGTACAAACCACATTCCTATTAACTTGTAATTATGGACATTCTTAATGTTTAATACTTTCTTATGTAAACACTATAATGTCATTTAAATTCTTATGTTTTAGAAAGTTTTATACACAAGAATTATAAATCAACTCACGTAAGAAAGGTCAATACTTAATAGCAATACACCATCTAATAACTCAGTTTCAGACACAAAAGGTTATACAAAAAGGTTTTATTAAGTACAGTTTCATATTTAGAAGAACATTCAAAATTACAAATGTGATTGGGTCTTTAGGATACATAATTCTTAAAAAACACAAGTTATATACAGACATTAGAAATTTAGTCTCCAAAATATTCAATAAAGATGTCTGGGTGACACTTATAGAACTGACCTAGCATTTTTTTCTTCTCTTTGGCAGACAGTTTTGGATCCTTATCAATAGTTTTTAATAAACTCAATAGCTCATCCTTGGTTGTCTTCTGTGTATGGTCCGAATAATCACTTTGATCAATTCTCTCACAAAAAGTATATCCTTAAATATTAAGAGTAAAAATTTCAGTTAATGAATCTATTCTTTAGATTTAACTATAAAAATCAATATTTTTATATTTAGTCCCCATTTTATAAAATGCACGGAAGATGTTAAGCACTGCCAACTTTCTAACGCTGGTCAATCTGCATTTGAGTTTAAGGAAGCTCTGCTAAGTCTGAGGAGGTTGTTTAAAGTTTAGTTGAAATTAGGTACAATTACTTACAGTAAAACACTTTCAAGTAAATAGTAGGAATTTATCTTTGGAAGATCATTAAAATAATATTTCTTAGATTACCTGTGCCTGTATTTGGATCTCTTCCCTTCTGAATGGCCATGAGCTTAACACTGACAATTTTATGTAGAGTTCCAGGAATCTTAAAAAAAAGAAGAAGAAGAAGGAAGAAGGGAGGAGGAGGAGGAGGAGGAGGAGGAGGAGGAGGAAGAAGAAGAAGGAGGAGGAGGAGGAGGGAGGAGGAGGAGATGGAGGAGGAGGAGGAGGAGGGGGAGGAGGAGGAAGGAAGGAGGAGTGAAGGAGGAGGAGGAGGAATAGGAAGAGGAGGAGGAGACATTGGACATTATTCAAATGCATTTTAATCTAGTGACCTATTATATAAACTCAAATGAACTACTTTCAGAGTTTTACCTTAAAGACATCTTTTTGATGATCCATTAAAAAGAGTACCAGAAGATCAGTTTTGCCTTTAGATAAATTTTTATTGTCAACAACAGCTTTTGAGAACATCCTTTTCACAACCATTCGGTTGTCACTCTATAAAATAAAATAACACATACCTAATGGCACATATTTAAAAGTTCAACATAAAAGGCAAACGTTAAATATTAATAACTATTATCCTATTTCAGCATGCTGATGATGGAATAATGTGACACGTGGGTCCTATAAGTATTAAGGATACCGAATACAATTAACATTTAGACAAAAGACTTACTTCTTTCTGTAATTTAAATTCAGAAGGATGTGCTGCAACAGCCATGAAATACAGTAGTCTTCTAAACTCTTCTCTGCTCTGGGAATCCAGAAGCTTTAGAAAGAGCTGAGTAGCTTCTAATGCTATTTCAGTCTTCCCATTCACTTTAGCCAAAAGAAAAGTGCTTTTAATTTTGACCAAATATGACTATATTAAAGGGAACAGTATTAAGGTAAAGCTTAAGCTGAACAGTAAACGTATTCAAAATAATTTTCAAAAGCAAAAAACAAAAAGACTAGGAATTATAATGAATGACTGATACCATCAAGGAAGCCAATTCTCGAATTGGCAACTAATATCCTAAGTCCTTGTCATACATTACTCTTAGGATGTTAAATCCTAGTCTTGGCTTTGTACATAAATTTCCAGCCTGTTTTCCATCAATTCAATACATTTCCAGGGCACACTATAGGTACAGTATTGATGTATCCAACCCTCCCTGAGAAAAATAGCCTGGTATATTGGTAGAGGGACAAAGCAGGAGTCCCATTTTGAAGAGACTGAAGGAGAATGATGGTGGTACTGGTGTTCCTTTTTAAAGAAGAGAACAGCTACTCTATGCTTAATGAACTTCCAACGAATGAGAGTGGCATTCTGTGGGCACTAGAAGTTGTAGGTCACTTCAGAACTTATCAAAGCCTCTTTCCAAATGATCCCTAGATGTTTTGAAATAAACATAAAATCCAGATCCACTCCTAGCTTGAAGTTATACCATTCTGATTAATTTTGAGAACAATTTTTTTCTTGTTTCTTCCACAATACTAATTCTAGTATCCAGTAAGATTCTTACTTACCTAAGAGCTCTGCAATTCCATTATGAACATCACATAAGTGATTTAACAGAGGTTCCCTACTACTGTAATATTTGCCAATGGCATTAAACAGAAGTTCTTTCACTAAGTCTATTCTATCTGGTTGCTCAGGAAAGTTTCTGCTTATGTCCACCACCATCTGGTCTGGTAGGTATTCCAAGCAGTCAGTTGCTGCAGAGAGCCACTCATCTTCCCTATGTGGGGAAAAAAGAACCATTTTAAAAAGCCAAGAGTAACAAATATACACATAGTACCCAATTTACTAGCTATTTCCAGTTTGCCACCAGGATAAATTTCTACACACTTAGGTAAAGATATGTGTAATTCTTTTTAATATATAGAGAGGTCATGTATCACAGATAAAAAGTTCGGCTTATTAAATGTCTTCTTTTTCTTACCTTTTTAAAAAGTGAAAATGGAAGCTATCCAGTACAATATAGAGCTAAAAAGGACATCAAAATTCAAACTCTATTCTTTACATTTACAGTAGAGGCACAGAAACTCTTAAGTTACTTGCTCAAGGTCTCAGACAGGACTAGATCCCAGATCTGATTCCTAGACCACTATTTTTCTAATATAGTGTTCCTTACTTCAGAGCTCTATATATGATGTCATCTCTCACTTTGGCTGAGAGAATAGAGAAAGATAAGGTAGGGTTTCAGAATAATTAAATATTAATTACCATTTCTAATAAAAATACCAGCTAAGTGACTTCAGAAAAAGGCTGTATTTCAAGACATAAAATAACTTTTAATATTTGATTTGTTAATATATATAGTTTAAAAATATTCATGTACTCTACTGCTATAGACTCAGAACAACTCTATCTACCACCCAGGTGCATTATCGGGGGCAGGTCACTTCATCTCTCTGGGCATCAGTTTCATCAAGTTTATAATAAGAAGCAGCGAGATGATCTTTAAGGTTACTTCTAGCACAATTGCTGATTCTGTATTTAAATTTAAGGTCATAATGTTTTCACGTTACTTTAGATTGTAGAAATGTAATTTAAATTCCTGTAGAATAATAAGCTCCCATTATACATGCAGAGTTCAATAACTAGTAAGTTGGGATTAACTTTTACATGTAAGGTTTTAAGTTAGCTTTTGACATTCAACTATTTGTTTATTAATAGCTCACTGGAATGTAGATCCGGTGAAGTACTAAACATGTTAAGTTGTATTTCTTTCTAACATTTCCATCTCTCTATGCTGGAACACTATCTGCTAAGGCAAAATTATTAAAAATTAAATGAGCTTAAAATACAAGATTTTAACCTTTAATAATTATATTTAGGAGACGAGCTCCAAAGTTATAAGGAATATAGCGCTCTGCTTTAAGGGGGAAAAAATCATAATTTCCTTAACTTGAAGTTAATTTAAGCCTTTAAAAAATCTTAAGATTTATATTCAGGAGAATGGTAGAGGTGAAACAAGAGTTACTTTCATTATATTTATTTAACAAAACTAGTTAATTTAAAAATACATATTTAACAGGTATTCTAGAGGCATATAAAATGCACATGTGGAGCCCTGGCCGGGTACCTCAGTTGGTTAGAGCATTGTCCCAATACACCAAGGTTGCGGTATGATCCCTGGTCAGGGCACATACAAGAAACAACCAATGAATGCATAAATAGTGGAACAATAAGTCAATGTCTCTCTCTAAAATCAATAAGTAAATTTTAAAAAAATTTTTAAGCATATGTGGTCAAAAGATTCTAAGAATTTGCCAAATCTGTTCATTTTTCCAGGTTTCTTTGAAGACGGACACCCCTAAGAGACCAAACAGACCTACATTTTAACAAAGATAAGAAGATGGAGCATAATCATTTTCTTCACTTGATGTACAAGTAAGTTATATGTGAAACAAAAATGAATATGAAAAATAATGAAATATAAATCTCTTTCTAATTTTGACCACAGTGATTTTGTTCTTTACTTTCCCAAATACTGATGATATCAACTGACAATGCATATCTCTGATTCTATGGACAGAAGAACTCAAAAGATTATCTTAAAACAATTAGCTATAACCATCCTACAAGCACACTCAAATTATTATATGTAGTTCCACATACTGAGAGTCACCATAAGCCTTGAGAATCCCTCGATCCAGGTAGTTACTATTGTTGACCAAGTCAGGCTGCCTCTTAGGTTGAGAAACTTTAGATACAACCTCTTGCTGTTTGAGTAAGGAGTCAAGAAGTGGAAGGTCTACAAGTTGTAGTAGACGCGCAATTGTTTCTTCTTGCCAAACTTCATTAATAACTACACAGGAAAAATGACAGGGCAAAAAATAACAATAGTTACTAAATGTTCACCATGAGATTTGTCTAGGCAGATATAAGCTAATAAATTGTGGCAAAAAAAAAAAGTAAGAGAGAAATAGTCAACCTTATTAAGTGATTTCTGAAAACAATTCAAGATTTGTTTAAAGTGTAGGAGAACAGACTTTGGACAACAGGAATTCCTTTCATTCTTGTACTATAAAAAGCAATATGGCAGAGATAAGAAATCAAGTCATAAAGCATGTTAATAAGGACTTTGGAAGAAAGAATGGTTCATTCAATCTGAAAACTCGTTTGAAACTCTTGGCTGCAGATTATTCCACTCAGGGTTTCCACAACTAGGATGGGGGAGGGAAGGTGGAAATCAGTCATGAAACTATATTCCATTTCCACAGACAAGGAAGAATATAAGAATTCTGTTACTATCTTAATGGAATTTTCAAATTTTTATTTAACCTAATAAAATCTTAAGGAAATAAATATCTGAGAGCATATTTTAAATAAAAATCTGCATGCAAAACATTTCAGATTTGAACCTCTGCCAGCTGACAGGACAAAAGTCAGTGTTCAAGAATTGCAACACTGATCTATTTGTTAAAGATAATAGACCTCTGTTAAAACTTAATATAAACAGTTTTAATACACAGTGTGCTCTTTCTTTGTGCTTTGAATATTTAAATTCTAAAAAAGGTTAAAATTGAAACATTTTTAAATAACTTTATTTGAAATTAGCTTTCTGCTTCTTACTTGCATCATCTTTAACTTACCTTGTGGAGACAAAGTTGCAAAGATATTTACATGAGGGGAGTTAGCAGGCTTTAAACTCAGATTTTCCCACAGGTCCTCTAAACTTGCTGATTTGATATCAGATGATTTAAAAAATGCATCTGTATACCTAAAATGAATTTATTTCATAAATTAATGCTTATTAGTAAGCCCACAGAAATATTTTAGTATTCGAGAGCCAAGAGTTTCTAGAAAGCTTATGTATTTGAGTAAAAACACAATACATGCAAATTCTAAGAGTAGAATAAAATACAAAACATCCCACCTTTTTTATTAGGCCTAAATATACATACTCTAAATTCTCCTTTGAACATTTAGATTTAAGTAACTCAATGACTAAAATGTTAGTCTAAATTTTAAAACAAACTTCATTATGCTTAATGTTTTTTATCAGTTATCTCTATTTCTGGGGCATTCTTTGGTAGATAGTGCTAATCATTCTCCAAATACAAATCTACAACCCTTTATTCACAATTCTGAAACCCAAAAAGCTTGGAAAAAATCTAAAGTTTATTCAGAACTCATATGATGACAAAACTTGTTTTGAGACTATCATAGTTTTTATTTATCCCAGTTAGTATGAATGTTTTCTTTACTGCAAAAACATTAATAAGTTGATTAAAGATCCTTCTAGGGGTGTTATCTAATATATGTACAAAATACCTTTCTAAACTCTCCTAAGTTTCAAATTCCTAAACGAATCAGTCAGGTCCCCAGAGGTTTCAGATAGAGCGTGTGGACCTGCATCTGGAAAGTGTTGACTTGCCCTACCTTACCCTCATATTTCCTTCCCACATATAGCGGTAAATTTTATTATGTTTTAAATATATAGTTTTAAAATATTTGAAAATCAATACATTAAACTTGTGTCAGCTCTGAATTATAAGAGCTTCAATGACCTCTGCACGATTGAGGTGAAGGGAATAAAAGGAAAAAGTTTTGTTTTGTTTTTTATAACAAATAACTCAGTTCATTATGTACTTATCACCTACATTCATTTCAGTCACTGGGGTTTTACAGTTCTGTCCCACAGTCTCCCTTTAAATGTCTCCCTCATCTTCACCACTGCCGTTTGCTTCACCCTCATCTGTAGACTGCAATATTGCAATAGATTCCAAACTGGCTCTCCCCATTAGGCTGACCGTACAGCTGCCAGGATGACCTTTCTAAAATGCAATCTCATCCTGCTTAAAATCTTTCTGTGGCTTCTCAAAACTGTATGACCAGGCACAAACTCCTTAATATGTTATATGAAACCTGTGCATTCTAGCTCCCACATGCCTTTCATACTTCACATCTACCATTTTGTGGAATCTAGTAATACCCTATCTGCCTGCGTTCACCTTCTCTGTTCTCATACCATTTTGTGGATAAGCTAACATTTTTTACACTATAAAGTGTAACTTGAAGCAGAAAAATCAGTTTGTTGATTGTTCATATTTTATATTTAGCAGAAACAAACAAGAATTCTAAAAGACAGCAAAAAAATAAAAGTTCACTCTACTTGATCAAATTTATCCACAAACCCAGATTTTAGCCTAATTTACTAATTCAAAAGAAACAAAGCCAGTCAGCATCTTATTAATAAGTAGACAAAATCCTGCCAGTATGCCCATGATAACCTTATATTATATACTAACCTAGAAGGTGAATGTAGTTTATTCTCTTTGCCAAATTGACTGTCTTGGTTGGGTACTGTTGTGAATCTATAAAGGCTGCAACTACTATCTTCAAACATAGGTTTTTTGTCTTTTCTAAAGACTTTGGTTGGAACTGCTTCAAATACTTTGTAGTCCATAAGTGCTTGACACACTCTTACTACTTTGGCCCGAGGAATATCTATATCACCAAAATATTTATTCTGAATTAGGTGAGAAAAAATAACATCGACAGCTTCTGAACCAACAAAGCAGTCATTGTGTCTTTTTAAATGGTGCCTTCGTTTTTTCACCTCCACTTGTGTTTGAAGAGTGTTTATAATGCTACTCCATACATATGTGGCTCCAAATGGTTTCTGGGCCACACTGAAACCTGGAATGGAAAAAAATCACAGAGTAACCTTATTTATTTATGATAAGGTCTAAGCAATCCTTAAGCAAAAAGTGGCAATTTCTAAAGTTATTAAAAGGAACAATTGTGAAGTCAGCTTCTTATTGAAATATCAAATTATTAGTAACAATTCATTTAAAAAATGTAATGCCTACTATATGCTAAACACTGTCCTGTGTACTAGGATACAAAGTGAACAAAATAAAGTCCCTGTTCTCATGGATGTATACTTTATGGGAAGATACAGACAATACAAATATGTTAGATCAATGCTAAGAAGAAAACTAAAGCTAGGTAAGGAAAAAAATGCTATTTTAGATGGACATCAGGAAACACCTTTCTGACCATGTGATTTCTGAGCAGAAACCTGAGTTTCTGGGCACCATTTAAAAACCAGGAAGCAGCCCGGCTGGTGTTGCTCAGTGGTTGAGCATTGACCCATGAACCACGAGGTTACCAGTATGATTCCCAGTCAGGGCACATGCCTGGATTGTGGGCTCGATCCCCAGTAGAGGCCATGCAGGAGGTAGCCAATCAATGATGTTTCTCTCTCATCAAAGTTTCTATCTCTCCATTCTCTCTCCCTTCCTCTATAAAAACAACAACAACAAAAAACTACAACAACAGAAAGCAAGCTATGCATATATTAGGGGAAAGAGCAGAGAGAACAGAAAGAGCAAAGGCCTTGAGAAGAAGAAGGAGACCAGCATGGTTTGTGTGGGTGACAAAGGGAGAGAACAGTAGGAAGTGAGATTAGAGAAGAGTAGAAATAGGGTTCGGGGCTCAGGGTTTGCAGATCAAGTAGGACCTTGTGGCAGTTACCAGTTATGTGCAAGGAACTCTATTAAGTGCATTAATGATCTAATCTTCATAGCAACCCTATGAGGGAGATATCATTTCTTTTCATAAGATGGAAAACAAACAGAGGTTAAGGGTAATTCCAGACATTATAAGAGGTGGTATTGGATTTGGCTCATGTTCTATATAATTTTAAAGCATTATCAATCAGATAGATAGACAGATAGATAGAGATCTAGTTATAGATACACACACATGGTTGTTGCATCAGTAGAACAGTAAGGAATATGGGGAATTGTAATTAAAGAAACTACTGCTGGAAATTACATTCCTGCCTTCTTAGGTAAAATAGAATATGGAAGGTGAAAGCAAAGATAAGTTCCTGAAGGACATGAAAAGTCACTTAATGCACTAGAATCATAAATTTTAAGTAGGTCATTTGGAATTCATCTTTTGTGTTGCAATTAATATAATGAGTGTAGTCGACCATCTATATATATAAAAGCCTAAGCAACCGTTATGACCAGATATATAAAAGCCTAAGCAACCGTTATGACCAGACGACCAAATGACCGGCTGGTAGCTTTGAGGTGCACTGATCACCAGGGGCAGACGCTCAACACAGGAGCTGCCCCCTGGTGGTCAGTGCGCTCCCACAACCAATTTCCTGCGGCCAGCCAACCTCTCGCGCTCCCTCTCCCTTACTGGCCAGCCCCGATCGCCGGCCAGGCCAAGGTACCCCACCCGTGCATGAATTCGTGCACCGGGGCTCTAATTATACTATAATTTTGTAGCTACTAGAAATGTTAACATCTTTACCATGAAAATTACTAATATACAAACACACATATACATAAAGCCCTTGACTGCTTATTTGTAGATTTTCAATACCAAAAGCTGATGGGTAATTTTCTATCTACCTATTATTA